CATACAACATACACACACACATGGAATTCTTCATTTTGTTATGTCCAGCTGCTCCAAGCATGCAGAGCACTAGATAAGAGAAGGAGACGTCAGACTGTCTCCAGCTCCTGATGTTTTTACAGCTGTCTGTGTAAGGGGCTAGCCCAAAACTGATAAATGCATTAGGCTCTGTGTTTCTGGGTGCTTTTTTCCCTGCTCTCTTCTCCAGCAGCTTGTCTGAAGGAGGGAGCCCTGGGTTGTGTTCTGTAATCCTTTTTATACATAAATATATATATATTTTTTTGTTAATAAACCAGCACTAAAATCAAGAAAGACGGACTCCTTTTTTACTGAGATCTGTCCAGTAAAGAGGGCCCGTACATAGGTCCCTGGGGAGTCGAGGTATTGCAGGATGTAATGCAGTGCCATGTTCACTGTATCGTCCACTGACCTGTTTGCCCTGTAGACAAACTGCAGGGGGTCCAGCAGGGGGCCTAAGATGTCCTTCAGGTGGGCCGACACCAGTCTTTCAAAGCACTTCATAACTACAGATGTCAGGGTGTTAGATATTTTTAGTCTGATACATATGATGGATGATCTCTTGGGATCCTGGATGATGGTGGAACGTTTGAAGCAGGAGGGGATGTCACACAGCTCCAGTGATCTGTTGAAGATAAGTGCGAATATGGGGACCAGCTGATAAGCACAAGTTAAAAGGCGCATATGTGAACCACAGGGGGCTTCAGGTGAACCGGACAATGACAGAAGACAATCAGCAGTGTCGACTAACAGAGCCATACTTAACCCATGGTCAAAATCACCATAATTGATTTAGATTGATTTAGATAGAAAGCAAGGCAAACTTTGCCGGTAACAAGGGAAACCACCATCCAAAGAAGTATTTTCAGAATGCAAATATCCTGGAAGCTTTATATGGTAATGTGATTATAACTGAAAACACAGGCCTGTTTTACACATGTTTAAGAGGATCACTCATGTAAACAACCCTTTTATAGCATCTGACAGTTTTCTCCATGACTGCAGTGTGGAAAAAGCTGGCAAATGTTCCTGAAGATAACTTAGATGTCCTCTATGTTCATCTGCTACTCAGCTGAGTATACAACACCCTGATATGCCAAATTCTGTTTGGACAAGTCATCGCTTACAGGCAAAGTTAATTACAATAAAAACTGTTTCCTGTTACACTGTCAGCCTGCTAGCAGCTTAACGGATGTCATTAATTACTTTCAGTCAGCAGTTCAGCTCCTCCAGGTTCCCACCAGCTGGACGGTACGTGCACACACACACACACACA